GTGCGTGCGTGCGTGCGTGCGTGCGTGCGTGCGTGCGTGCGTGCGTGCGTGCGTGCATGTATGTAATATTATTTCATTTATATAAAATATATTTCACAACGAATTGCAACCAATGTGGATTCCTGGGTGGTATCCCCTCTAATATACAAGTTTCCACTTTAGGGCTAAGCCAGAATTACTCACCCTTGTTTACATTATTGGTGGCTTCACAAAACATTTTTCTCAATGATTTATTGAGAAATTATTTCACATGCATCCCCTTATTCAGGAAGCATAGGCCTTGTTATGAACTAGTGCTTTGCCAATGTTTTATCAGTTTGATATTTGCTATGAAATTTCTACTTCATGGGGGTGTGGAAACAATATTAATGAAAAACCTGTACCTTCCACTCTTTCATACATTTGTCAAACTGGTTTGTGGCAGTTGTTCTTTTGATTCCTAGTCCTTATGGAGAGACAAAAAGAAAACATTCTCTTTGTCTAGTCAGGCATGCCAATATGGGGATGTATATTTATATGCACATCCTATTGAAAAATAATACATGGCAGAGGAATGACACCCATATTTCGATGTACATCAAGCTGTGCATTTGAATGTACATCTAAACATGCAAGGGAGAGATCAGACTGCTTTGACTGAGGGTATGTGATTGCTTGTCTCAAAACACCTATCTCTTCATAAACCGTTCTCCACTCCTTTACAAGAGGATATAAAATGTGCTGGGGGGAAATGCTATTTGTTTCTCCTACAATCACAGCTTTGACTCAGCATTACTTTAAACCCTTCATTTCCCCTCACTGAAGTTAATGGACAACCAAATCTAATCTGTAGAATCAAATAAGGCCTCAGCCCTTCATGCTCCCAGTATAATCCTGATTCACACCACTATCAATGCTGCATTTAGGAGAACAGAATAATGGAACTGCATAAGTAACTCCCATCAATGCAAGAAATCCATAGCAAACATTTTCCTGGTCAATGGTCATACAATCCATGTCAAAAACCTCCAACAGGGGAGGTTCTACTCCTTTGTGAATTAGTCTCTTCCACTGATGAACAGCTCTTACTGTCAGGATGTTCTTCTTAATGTTTAATCAAAATCTCTGTTGGTCCTAACCTCTGGAGTCACAGAAACAATGTTTGCTCCATTTTGAATTGTACATGTGATTGGAAAATCCATCCTGCCACACTGAGAGAAAAAATGCACTTCTCAGATTTCAGAGATAAGAATTCTAATAAGTTGCTTGCCAATGCAATGGGCAATGTTTTCAAATTCAATAATGCATCTGGATAGTGAGGGAATTAGATATTTGATGTATGCATAATATAAGTCTGCTTCATACCATATCTGCTAATTGAGGTCCGTGATATGCTGGCAGAGGTGGGAATGTTGTAAGAAGAGGTCTGCTTAGGAACAAGGGCCACTACAGAGCGATCGGACACCTGGTAAGAGAGAAAAACACAAGAGATAAACAATCAGAGAGAACATTGCAAAGATATTTTATACAAAAAGATTTACATAGAGTATGGCTAGCTAAAAATACAGAAACTGTAAAACTTACTATCCAGTCCTGTCAAAAACATATGAAATGACATGCCGTACCAGTAAACCAAGGAAAATAAAGGATATATTTCCCTGTTGGCCTGTTCTGTCCCTGAAGCAAAGGACTAAGAAATGAAAAGACATATTGAAGGCATTCTTGGTCATTTTGATTTAGGATTAGTTTTGATCCAATAAAAACGGAGATTCCCAAGAATTGTAGCAACCCAATTAAAGCAATAACGCACTGGGAATAAAACAGCTATAATAATGTTATGGACCATAAAACATTCCTATTAAACCATTTTTTATTTTAACCATTTTTATGAACTTTAAAAGTTTGATTTATAGAGGAACATGTCATAAAATCATCTTTCAGGATCTTAAATGGCCAGTCCTGCAATTTCACAGAAAGAGGGGTGGGATTAAATCTGGGGAACTCAAACTATAAATGAACATTAACACTAACGAGATTTTGTTATAGCAGGTTTTAGTGGTAGCGTTTAATTTTACCCTCCCTATAAATCTGAGAGTCACAAAATTTTTAACTTATCTTCATTAACAGCCCCTTACATCTCTGAGAATTTTATTAACAACCTCCTAGTGTAGTATGGTTGTGGGAATTGTAATAGCACACTCTTTTGGCTGAAAAAGATCTTCAACTTGTGTTTGACTTAATTGACTTTGCAAGAGTCCTTTCGTTCCCTCTTCAAACCATCCATTGCTCAGATTAACTTGCTAAAAAGTTGTTAATTTTGAAGATGGACAACATTTGGGCCCGATCTAGTAAAGCAAATAAATTGTTGTTGTAGGTTTTTCAGGCTGTTTGGCCGTATTCTGAAGGTTTTTCTTCCTAACGTTTTACCAGTCTCTGTGGCTGGGATCTTCAGAGGATAGGAGTTAGCACTTTGTCTGTGTTCTGGTGTAGTGTGTGGGATAGTTGAAACATGCCCTGAAACAAGCTGGACATGAAATTCTATTTCAAAACAGAGAAGTACTGGACAACATCAGCAATCATTATCTCAGACTACACAATGAAGCCATTGAAATCCACAAACACCAGCAGAGCATCAACAAAAAAGAAGAAAGTCTAAAACTCAACAAAGTCTGGCTCCCAGCACTAAAAAATACAGCCTGAAAAAGGTCAATGAACTCTACCCAGCCACAAGGACCTGTGATCACTGCACACAAAAGACTAGCTAACAACACCCATCAATCGCAGTGTGGATCATATTTCCCCCTTATAAAAAAATACACACATAACAAAAAACATCCTGATCATCATAATCACCCAATCTCTTGAAAAGGACAAAAAGGTGATCCCACAGCTACAAATACTCAACTATCCCACACACTACACCAGAACACAGACAGAGTTCTAACTTTTATCCTCTGAAGATGCCGGCCACAGAGACTGGCGAAACGTTAGGAAGAAAAACCTTCAGAACACAGCCAAATAGCCTGAAAAACCTTCAACAACCATCAGATCCTGGCTGTGAAAGCCTTCGAGAATATAAAGCAACTAAACATACACAGAATGCTATGCACATGAAGCATCTTCAGAGGACAGGAGTTAGCACTCAACTTCAACTTAAAAGGACAGGAGTTAGCAAATAAACATACACAGAATGCTATGCACATGAGTTATTTTCTTGAATACATGGGCTTACATTTTTAAATGATATATTTAAAATATTGATTTTCCTGAAACAGACATGTCTGTCCAAAGACATCTGTGTTAGAAGGAATAGCCACCCAAGATAAAACCAGTTCCTAGAGATTTCTTTCTCCATTCCGTTGAATCTCAATGCAACGTGCATAGTGCATCCACTATGAGCTTGAGTCCTCTTTTACACAACCTGTCCTTTTGCTATTATCAGAATAGGATGTCTAAATCTCTTGCAGACAAACTACTTCACCCCAAATGACACCAGTAATGCTTTCAGTGCTGTGTCAATTCCCTCTGTCATTCTCAACATTGCTTCCTTTTTGGTATTTTACTCTCTTCCACTTCTCGTTAAGTTATTATTGGTTATTTTACTGTTCTATATTCTACGAAAAGCTTCTTTACGTCACTGTCCTACTGCTAACATCTTTGTCCTTTTTTCAAACCTTGGTGCCGCTACAGAAAAGATCAGAAATGGGCCTCTGATGGTCTTTCATAACTTAATATCTTTACAGGAATGGTCTCTGGTTTCTCTAGTCTCTAGTATATATATCTTTTCTTTGTATCTGGCTTTCTTCTGGCAAGGTAAGATTTTCTGAGACAGTTTATCCTGGGTTGTTCATGCCTGTTGCCCTAAGAGGAACTGCAGAATTTTGTGACAGTACTCAGATATACCTGCCCCACTGGGAGGAATGGCTCATTTTTGGTCATTAAATGAATAAAAGTCATTAAACACTATGAAAATTGAAAGTAAACATTTAAAAAGTAATAAAAAGAGAAAAGTGGCACTAGGGGTCTAGCATTTCTCTAAGGATATCAAATGTTGAGTTAGTCTGGTTTGGCTCTATGATATTCTCAATGAATACATTTATTTTCCTGAATTGTTAAGATATGATTGCAATGTTTTATAGCTTTGTAAAACGTAGTTTATCTACTTTGTTTCAAAAAAAATGTTCAATGTTAATTGTTTTATTATTTTTACAAACTGGAAAAATATATTGAAGGCAGACCTCAAAGTAATGCATTTTAAAAGTAAATCATTGGCTGAGGTCCTGTTGTTTAAAGTAGTAAGCTGCTGGAATAGGAAAACTGAATCAGTGGGAATTTTGTGAGTCAGCTTCCTTGTAAGTTCCATTGATTCAATGGGTGTACTCTAGTTGTGATCTATTATGCTAAGCAACAGGATTTCAGCCATAGTATTACTCCTTATTTCTCAGCAACCAGGTTATCATAACTGTGCAAGTAAAACATTATGCTGAACATTATTAATGCACTATGTTGTCAAGTAAAACATTATGCTGAACATTATTAATGCACTATGTTGTTATTTCAAACATGCCAAGTGAATGCTTGGAAATACTCTCTGGTGCACTCTTAATGTCCAGTTCTGACACTGCATCTTCGACATGTTTTTAAAACCAAACAACACTTTCCTCAACACTTTGGATTGACCAAAAAACAAACAAATATAAAAGCTGACAAATTCCTGTCATAATCATTTCAAGACTGCCTTCCAAAGTAACTTTTAAAAGTTACTTTTGAAACTACATTTTACTTGTGATATCGTATCTAAAAGGCAGCTGTGCAACTGCTAGTGACAAAAAGGAAGTTACAGGCAACTGCACTAATTGTAACTACAGTAGCTACTTCTAAACTCATATTGATGGATAATAGAAAAACGCTTCAAACAAACTCTAAAGACATCCTAGCCTTCTTTTCATTGTTATTGAAACAAAAGCAGTGGTTAAAAGTACTTTGTTTTTTATTTTTGTTTTTTAGATCATATGTCTTTGTAAGAAATACATGTTTTAATCTCGCTTCAACTTTCTTACGTCCAGGTCCAACACTCAACTTCGCTCAGAAATGTTAAGAAAGCTCATAAGACACAGGCATTTTAAAAAGCTATAGGAACAGTAAGGATGATAATAAACAGTAGGAAAACCTTATTGTCACAATGCTATGAAAAGGCACACAAATTGCCAATGCATGGGGGTCTGTGAAAGTTTTCATGGTAAAAGTTATTATTTTAAAAGTTATTTATTATTACTATTAGGAATAATGTCTAGCCGGATATGCAGCAAGACTAAGGTATTTATATCTTGTATGCATAACACTTTGTTCCCTATTATTCTCCTCCACTTCCTTTCACACAGTTTTTAAGTCTCTAGGAGAAACAATAAACTGTCACATTATATTCTTAGGATGTTATTAGGCACCGTTTTATGGCTGGGATACAAAAAGCAGTCCACCCATAACAGCAGTCCATCTTGGGCTGCTGGTTTTGTACAGTTCCTTCAGAACGTTTAGTTAACTAAAAGAAACAAACTCCAAACAAACATACATTCCCTTTCCACCCCATCCCTTTAAAAAAAAAAGCTGGGCAAATATTTAAAATTCTCAGCCACCAGCTCCTTGGGTAACCAAGCACACAAAAATAAAGTCTGCTTCAGCCACCAGATCATGCATCTGGTCCTATAAGAAATACTTTTGCAATAAATGCGAGCTGGTTTTAAGTGTTAGGGACACAGATGCATTATCCTAAAAGAAAAGCACCTGACAATCAGGCTCTTTTGTGTACACCTGTATTTACTGCATTGCCGAGCCCTGACGTTTCTGTAACTTGGATAACTGAAAGGAACATTTATCACAGAGAAAATTCGTTAGACATGAATGCAAAATTGTGGCTTCTGTTTGGTTGGCAAACTGTTACTTTGATAAGACCCCTATTGCAGGAAGGCCAGCTGCTCCCTGCAGCTTAAGCGATCAGGAGCTGGGCTGGTAAATGGTCTGGTACAGGCTAAGAAAGGATTGAGCACATTTGGCAGCAAATTATTTCTTTTTCATACCCATGAAATGGAAACAGCTATTACTGTCAGTTGGAGCAACAGTCTGATTAATGTAAAGGACAAACCAGGGGCACAGCAAAATACTGGCACTTCAAGTGCATGCCCTAAGCAACTCCTCTTGGATACATGCATACCATATTACGCATTCCCTCACTCCACACAGAGGCTGCATGGCAAAAGAACAAAAGAACAGGGCGTTTACTCTTTGCACGATCCTTGCATTATAGATGACAGACTCACTCTATATAGGTACATGAAGACTTTTCACATTACCGAAAGGATTTGGATATTCTAATTTCTAATCATTTTTAAATGGAAGCTGTGCTGGGATTGTTGAAGTGAAAAAGGAATTTGTGCCTTTTAGCTGCTTGTGAAAATCCTCATTTCTCCA